TAGATGTATAGAAAAACAATAGGTTTACACAAAATTCTATAATGTTACTGGCACTTAAGTATAAAAACAGCTGTTCTCTAGAGACAAAAAAAAAAGATAAAATGTATGGCCCAATTCTTTCCGTCTGTCATACCTGTCCAAGAACATCTAAAAGCTTCTCCAAAATTTTGAATGCAGTTAAGAAATAATTCCCCCCACCTCCCCAAATATCCACATTTTCTGTATAGAAGACAGACTAATGTGAGATGCATCCAGAAAACTGAGGGGGAATGTGGACATTTAAGACACTTCAAATAACATGGATAGCCTAAAGGGAAGCATTAAGTAAGTCTCCCTATATTTCACTGCCTATACAGAGATGCCAAAAGCAAAGTAAAATTAGTGGTAACTGCTCCCTCTCCTGACATACACCACCCCACCCCCCCCGCCCCCAAGTGCAGCAAACCCCCCGAATTAAAACACCCTTAGTGGCAGATGGGTCATTTGCTTTTCAGCAGGGAGGCACACAGCAGATCTTTTTTTAATATTTTTTTTTTAGTTTAGGTACCTGTTTCTGGAAGCCTGTTTGTATCTCAGGTATCTTTTGTAGAGTTTAAATAATATGGCAGATCTTCAGTTCCTCTGGCACAGCAAGGGGAATGCAGCCACTCCAGTTTGGTACCGTTGTACAACTGGGTTTATTCTTCAGATTTTTAGCATTTAAAATGCCAGAGTTGATACGTATCTACTTCCCAGAGCTCATGGCAAACTGAGGCTAACATGCCGTGTATTGGTTTGTAATAACATCATCAAAATTAGCGACCCATGAAGTTTATTTATTGCTTGTTTAGAGTAGATATGATTATAGTTTAAAAAATAATACTGTTTTCTTGATCACACTGTTGTGGTGAAGCAGCTGTGGACTGTTCCACAGCCATGGCCATTCTGTGAAAGGAGCTACAGATGCCAGAATGAGGTGATAACTGTTCACTTTCTACAGGAGAGGAAAGGCAAGTTGTAAGGGTCTCCTGAAAGGATTCTACTTCATTCTCTGTATTTCACAGTATAAACTTGAGTCACAATAAAAACTGGATAAAGTTTTGGGTCAACCTTCTATCCTGCCTGCATGCTGCTACCAATTTCTTCTAAAAGCTTTTCCCCTTCCATGCGAACAACTTTATTTTCTTCCTGCTTCTGGAGTAGCAGTCACTAGAGCTGCCAGTGACATCCCAGTGTAGGTTGCTGCCCAGCCTGCCATTCTCCTAGCATGGCTCTAACTGCAGGCAACTTGAAAAAATAGTGGAAAGATTACAGACACTGAAGTCACTGAGAAACTTCAGCAAAAAACCTGCCCCTTCAGCCCATACACCTTCTGCCATAGCAACAAAACTCTTCTTTTACCGTCTCTTGTGCACAGTTTCATAGTGGTGATACTACACAGCCAATGCTAGAAAAGTCCATGATGCCACTGATACTGACCACTGAGGGAAGCAAAAGATTATTCAAAGCACTTAAGAAGCTGTCAGGATCAGGGTGTTGTCAGCTGTTCTAGAAAACAACAGATAATTACAGTTGTGTCTGTGTGTCCGTACGCACATGTGTCTGTGTATAATCCTCCTGTTAGAAAAAAAACCAAAACCAAACCCAAAACACCCTCCATATGAAACTTTGTCTCTCCTCATTCCTTGTAACCCAATAATATATATTGTGACAGTAATGTCAGTTCATCTGCCAGGAGCTAATGCTACACCACTAGTCAGCCTCCCTAGAAAAAGGGCTGTGTTGGGACTGAAGATGTATCAGGAGTGGAATGACAAGGCCTCTGCACAGAACACCTTACTGACAGCGTGGCACTTTATAAAATGTTTGGATTAAAAGCAGCATTTGAAATAAGCTTTAGGCTTGGAGGTCACCACATGCTTTGAACTTCACGTCAAATACCATCACAAAAACTATGTTGTACTGCTAAATCTAGCAGCACAGCTAGGCAGCCTGCTTCTCTAAAGTTGATTTTAAAATTAAGTTTATAAATCACAGGCCCCAAACATACCTACCATCTTATGTTAAAACATTGCCATACAGAGATTACATTACTATCATAACCAGAAAAGCTTTCTAAAAAGCTCACATTCTGCAGCAAGGAATGAGCTTTAGAGGCCATCTGGTAACTTTTACACCTTTTCCTGGAGCATGGAGATAATTTCAGTTTGCCATCACACATATCTGTGTGTTCAACCAGTCCTCCAACTATTTTAATTTTTTTGGAGGGGGGGGGGGGGGCGGCGAGGGCAGGAGGTGGTTTTTGGCACGTCTGGAGAGAAGCAGTAAATGTGGTATAACTGGAGGGTTTTTCTGCCAGTTCCGATGTGTTTCCAAAATGCAACTAAATCCAGTCCCTTTGCTGCATTTTTTATTATTGCCTTACTTGCATTTGTCTGTATGCGTATAAACTGTTACACAATCAACATGTAAAAAAGACAATAACACACTCCTCTCATCTGATCAATTAATTTGATGTGGCAAAGGGGAGAAGACCTTGAACCTTTCCTAACAACTTAGTTTGCAAATCTGCATATTGCAAAAGACATTGCGGTTAGGCTGGATGACAAAGCAGGAGATCAGTCTCTCACCAAAACCAAAGGCCTTTTCTAGACCTGCCTTCATTGCTTTCACACACGACAAAGAAATGCTGCAACAAAGAGGATGTTTAAAAGTTGAAATGTAGACTCTCCAGTTCCATAAAGTAATCCTATTATTTTTACATCCAAACCATAGCGGGCTTCCTCAGTGTAAGCATATACGGAAGTGACAGATATTCCTGAATAACGTGCTTTGCATATATAATTATGTGTGTGCACACTTTTGCACTCAGTGTGTGGCCGTGTGTGTACACACACACACACACATTTGCACACGTGCACTCTTTCTCCCTCTCTATCTCTCCAAAGCAGACTGTGTTGCATTTGAAGTTCATATATGGTCCTAAAACCAATGCTGTTCTCATCCTGACGCATTGATGTAAATTTGATGTTTAACACACCTCTCCCCTGTTTTGGGGAGGATGTCATCAAATGGCAAGTGGCTGCAGTAACATTTATTTAAATAATATTTATAATAACAAATTTACAAAATAATAACTATAAACAGTAAATACTAAATAATATTAAAATACCTAATAAATTTGTAAGCCAGGGCTTTCTTAAAGGTATTCAGACAGGAGTTTCCTTTCCAAATTGAAATTGTGAGCCTTCTAATTAAGTAGGAGTGTGGTGTCTTTGACGATAAAAAGCTATTCATTTAGGTCACCGAGATGATTTATGCCCTGTGTTTGTCCCTACCAGCTCTTCACTGCACTATGAGAACAGCAAAGGTACCTTAAATTGAAGGGGGAAAACAGTCTTTATTTCAAGCAGATAAATCCAAAATAAATTTACTGGTACAAAAAGCACTGTGCTCAAAGAAATACAGCATCATTCACCTGTTAGCTGATCCTGTCAAAAAAAGGTTTCGCATATGACCAAAAATAAAATTGTAAACATTTCACCTAAAAAAGTGTAAATTTTTCCTGTTTTGAGTGCACTGGATATGTGGTGGTATCTTCTGGAGTGCCCAGGGTGGCATACAATGCCTAACATTAGACAGAGCTAGTACAAACACACAGACATGGAAGGATACCCCCATACACGACCACCACACCATCATCGCCGCCCCCCCCCCCCCCCCACCCCCCCCCCCCCCCCCAACACCCAGTTCCTCCCCTTCTGTGGGTTTGTTATTTCTGAAAGGACGAATCCAAATCTTATCAGTCTCTGTTTTCTCATTTCCAAGGGCTGAAGTAACACTGATGGCCAACTGCAGGCATCAGTTGTTTTGCCAGTGTTGGCCTTTTGTCAAATACTTGTACTTGGTTTTGGCTTTGTCAAGTCACAGCCCCTGAGATCATGGCTCTCCTCACCAGAGTAGTAACTCTGTTCTGCATACAGCCTGCTTGAAATCTTGCTGGAGCATGCCAGACCAGATTTGTGCCTGGAGTTTGAAATTAAGATTCACTGTGGGGGTTAACACAGAATAAAATGCCTCTACTCAACACATGTGACAGGATCATGTTTGCTTTTTGCACAGTGCAACACTGGTAAGCAAGTCGGCCTCTAGCTAGGCTGCCAAAGTTATTGGGGCTGAGGAGACAACCGATCATGAAGTGTCCCCAGCACCCTCAGCTTTCAGCCCACAGACACTGTGCAGCCTGCAGGCCTCAAATGCGTGAAGGGAGCAGCACAACTGGTGAGTTTGCTTGTATTACACTACAGAACACTATGGCAGAACCAACTCACTTGTTACAGCTGTCATTTTTGTTAGCAGATTATCAGTTCAAATTAAATGCCCTATTTCCTGTGTCCATGAGTATCGATGGAAAATGCCTTTGCTTTAACACTTGTGTGCCCATGGGGTATGCTGTTGAAGATGGTAGCAAGTGATACGGATTAGTTTGTTACACATTTTGCCTCTCAGGTTGGCACTCCTTAAACACAATTTGAGAGGCCACAGAGTCACTGCAATTTATAGGCACTATTCTGCTCTTAATTACCCTTAAAAATCTTGGCTACTAAGACTAAGTTCAGTAGCTCTGACAGAGCCAGCCACTTCCCAGGATCTGGACATGGCTCAGGAGCATGTGTGGCAAGCTGGAATGTGACAGGAGCAGCTGGAGACTTTACCCAGTGCTGATACAAAGGAAGTAACAGGTCACATTTTCATAGCTCTTCTTTGAGAAGTAACATAGTAACGTTTAAGAAAACAACAAACATTAGCTACATAAGCATTTATATTCCACTTGTATGAATTTCTGTAAATCACTTTAAGTCTGAGCAGTGGAACATGAATGTAATGCTCAAACATACCAAGGGAAAACAAAGAAATTAGGGTTTGGTACGTCAGTCTTACTTTTTGTTGTTAATTCCTCAGCATACTGTGATTAGAAGCAGACCGGCTTCCTCGGCTAATGTTCCTGTTTCTTATTACAGCTGGATAGCGTCACTTCACTAATTCAGGCTGCCAAAAATTTAATGAATGCTGTGGTGCAGACAGTGAAGATGTCCTATATTGCATCCACTAAGATTATCAAGATTCAGAGTCCTACTGGCCCACGACATCCTGTTGTGATGTGGAGAATGAAGGCTCCAGAGAAGAAGCCCCTAATTAAAAGAGAGAAGCCAGAAGAAATCTATGCAGCTGTCAGAAAAGGTTCTGCAAAAAAGAGAATCCATCCTGTTCAAGTCATGAGTGAATTTAGAGGCAGAGAAACAGTCTAATATTCTGCCACTTTTTTTGTGTTCCTAGATTGAATTTCTGATCATTTTTCATCTTTTCCCCCACTTAGTTAATAATTATATATGTTAATGTTTTGCTTTTCTCTAAATTTGTAAGATAACACTTGCTTAATTTATTTTAAAACACTATTAGATTAATCGACAGCACATAGTTGAAAAAAAAATAGCCATTCTCTTGCAGTGACAAACTATCATGTCTTTATACTGGCACGTTGTCAGCAGAGGGATACATGATGGGACTGTGCTGAGCTGGAAAGGATGATGCAGTGTGCCAGTCTGCCCAAAGTCGTGCTGTACTCACTAGGCTTAGGCGGTCCTTCACCTGGGATGAACACGGCCAATACCAGCTTTTTAAACATTGTGCTCTTGGGCCAGATCCTTTATCAGCATCATTACACTGTGATCACATCAGCTGGACTGCCTGATCCTAGCTAGGAGTTTGGGCCCTTAACTCCTACCTAGATTAAAAGATCCAAAGATCTCCCCTCATCCAAAGCCCAGCCTTGGAAATAGAAGTTTGAAAATGTTTGATGAAACACAAAAAGTGCTTTCAAACATGGAAGTAATAATGTAATAAAACAGCACTAACTGCAACATAGCAGTAATAATAGCTCTTTAAGAGCAAGCCTTTTGAAACATTAATGTTAATCTGTGTTCTGCTTCCTACTTTATTCTGTGAGCCCTAATAAATCTGCTGACTTAAATTTGGAAGTTCAGATAAATCAGATACCAACAGTAAAAAACTTTGCTAATCGCTTCACAAAAGAACAAATAGAAAATACATCATTATTCTGCGATCAGTGTGTGAAACACACATACACACATCTAGAATCTTAAGAACAATGAGATTTCTGCAAGTTAACACTAGTGATTTAAGTTACTTTTTCTTACAACAGGAGAGTCCTAAATGCAGGACTGTTCTGGTAAGCGACCTGCTAAATGGCTGCACTATATCTCAAAGCATGTAGAGTCCTAAATGCAGGACTGTTCTGGTAATGCTAAATGGCTGCACTATATCTCAAAGCATGTAAGGAAGATAAGTGCTATTAGTCTGTGAAGCCACTAGGCTCCCATAAGATACTTAGTGAAAGTAAATTTTTCTAAATCTGTTTGAATCTGAAATGCACTTGGACTGATTTTTTTTAAAGAATCTATCTTGTATTCCCTGCCATGTCACAAAGTTTTTCCAGACTCCACTTGTTACTCAAGATGTCTCTGCTTGAAATTAAGTAGATCCTTTGGTATGTTTTTTTTATTTGCTAAGGTGAAAGGGCTCCCTCAAATGCCAGAACTTCATGATGTGTCATTGATTGCCATTATGAGGCAGCTCCAGACTACGGGCTGCTGCTCCATGTCATTTATTACCATGTTTTGCACAGCAATGTGTCTACCTAGCACAATGTGGCCAGCAAAAATAACCATCAACTGTGTTTTCCTCTTGAGGACCACTCTGTTTCTAAGCTCAGGACAGTGGAACAATTTAGTTTCTAGGCTGTTGGTTAAGAAACCCCATGAAACCTACAGTGATCAAGAATTCAGAATTTTACAGATCACTATTCCACCTTCCCTAACTTTACTATCTGTGAAATGAAACAAAAGCAGAAATTTAGAAGAAAAATTACTTCTTTCCAATTCAAATTCCCTGCAGCATGTTTGCAGCAAGATCTCTGTAACCTGTATAGGTCTTTGCTAGTCCTCTTAGGGCTACAGAGTGGGAAGCAGCTAGCCGTTGAGTGGGCAGAACTAATATGGAGTAGGTCATACGACCTACTTCAGGAGGTCTGCTGGCAGACTAAGCAGAGCCAAGATAAAGATTCTCTGTGGTACAGAGATCAGGAGAGCATATGTTGTTATCGTCACACCTTAAAGAAAAAAATCTCAATGCAGTATTTCAAGTTCTGGCCCACCCCCTTAAGACTCCCTACTCCCCCCAGAAAGGTTCAGGTCCAGAAGCCAGCAGGTGAGTTGACATAACCTTGTTTTGGGGGAGGGTTTTCTCTCCTAATAAATCCTCACGTCTCCCGGTTACACCTTTGACATCAAATGTTTGTAACTACTGTCTTGTTATCACATTATTAATAAAAAGCACATACACCACTGAGAAGACATCTTTTAGTCTTGTGGGATTTTTGCGGGGTTTTTAATGTGTCTCCTTATTCGTCTCCAACACTAGTGAACACCCACGTCAAAAGCCTGACACATTTGCTTATTGAAGTGCCAGCCTTCCAGCACATTAAGTGCACTGTCTTAGTCTGGTTTAAGTGAGAGTTTTTCTAGCCTTAGTTCAGCACAGTTCAGTGCTTAATTTAATGATCCTTCCTGAAATGCTAGCCACTACTCTCTTATCCTGGCCAACTCGATAGCCAGTTTGATCTCAACTTGCAATACTATTCTTATTACCCAGAAATTTATAAGGCAAAAAACAACCCTCTAAATAAACAAGAAAATCAAAACCCACTGCTGGTTTTTGAGAAGAGACAAAAAAATGATGGGTTAATTATATCTAGACTTCTTTTTCCTGGCTAAAGTTCAAACTTAAGTGAAAACATAACAAGGTAAAGTTTATTCCTGGCTCAGGAGACAGAGGGATAAGAAACAAGTCCTGGAGATGTAAAAGCCCAGCGTATTAGCTTATTGCCCCCCTCAGCAAGTCTGCAAAACAGGAATCGCCACTTCTATGCCACTATTAATAACGCTGAAGGAGGATGCGCTGCTCAGTAAGTTTTATACAGAAGCAGCTACTCAACTAATCCTGCAATCTACTCATTCCTTCCTACCCCCAGTTTTCAGAGTACTATTTTTCACTTTGTTGTTGCTTGCTTCTGTGTTTGCGTGATGGCCATAGCCTGTCAGCATGTCCCCTGAAAACTATGCTCTTGGCTGCAGCTTTGCAAGCCTTTCTCACCTCAGCAGCTCAGATTAATTCATTATTTTATTTCATTAGCTTGCCTTGGCCTCTCCCCACTACCAGATTACAGAGCAAAGTATGACGGCCAATTGAAGGCAATTTGATTTTAAAAATTCAGTGGAGCACTAAAAAAATGAGATAATTGTATTTTTCATTGTTGAGGCACATTAGTACAAAGGGACATATTCAAGCCATTTCCATGAATCCCAAAGTTGTTGATTTTTAATTTTTTTTTAATAAACATTTCGGCTGTGTCACTGCTCCCACTGCTCATGTTGTTTCCTTTAGTGATTCTAATTTGTAAACAGCAGCTTGCATCACTGCAGATTGTGCTCAGCATAGTTTGCAGTTTGTCCCAATTGCTTCGTTATTACCTTGACTTAGTGAGCCATTCCAGTAAGCAACAAAAGTCCTCTCATCTCTTGGGCCCTCAGAAAAATTTAAAACCACATGTGCCTCTGCCTCTGTGCACACCTGGAGGCCTGCTCTTGTGCACAGTGAAAACTGCTCCTAGGCTGCAACAAGAGAAGTATGTCCAGCAGGTCGAGGGAGGTGATTCTACCCCTCTACTCCACTCTCGTAAGGCCCCTCCTGGAGTACTGTGTTCAGTTCTGGAGCCCCCAACACAAGAGAGACATGGACCAGTTAGAACAAGTCCACAGGAGGCCACAAAGATGATCCGAGGGCTGAAGCACCTCTCCTGTCAGGACAGGCTGAGAGAGTTGGGGCTGTTCAGCCTGGAGAAGAGAAGGCTGTGGGGAGATCTTGGAGCAGCCTTCCAGTACCTGAAGGGGCCTGCAAGAAAGCTGGGGAGGGACTTTTCATAAGGGCAGTTAATGACAAAACAAGGGGAAATGGCTTTAAACTGGAAGAGGATAAGTTTAGATTAGATATTAGGAAGAAGCTCTTCACTGTGAGGGTGGTCAGACACTGGAACAGGTTGCCCAAGGAAGTAGTGGATGTCCCCTCCCTGGCTGGATGAGGCTTTGAGCAACTTGGTCTAGTGGAAGATGTCCCTGCTGATAGCAGGGGGGGTTGGAACTAGATGATCTTTAAGGTCCCTTCCAACCCAAACCATTCTATGAGTCTATAATAAGCTTTTTGGGAGAGGGAAAGGCAGAGAACCAATGTGGTAGCCCTCTCTGCACTTACACCAATGTATTTTTTCCCCCAACTTAACCTGGCATCATTTGGAAAGCTCGATAGCTGCATCGCTACTGAAGAAGATGACTAAGCACCCTGACATCATGCAGGTCTGATGTTCTAGATGGTTTTAAAAGGCCTTCAGCTCTTTTGAAAAGGTGTTTTGTGTTCCTTATTTTCTGTGGATCCACGCTGAAGCATTTAAGAAAAATGTGTTTATACAGCAAGTTCTTTAATGAACTTTTAGATGTTTTATTTTTGATGAATATAAGTCTAGGTACTACTTATACCTTACGTACATTTCTTGGTTAAACTTTGGGGACCTGCCTGAATATTTGGCTCAGGAAATGAGGAGATAAATAAAACCCTATTCTATCATGTTGCATTTAAAACCAAAACAAAATAAATGCCTTGCACTGGACAAAACAGAGGGATTGGTGTGTGTGTGTGTGCAGGAGAAGAAAGAAGTGTTGGGCCCTTGAAGGAGTGGAGAAGTGAGAGTGGTAAGCAGGAGTGGTACTTTTGGTAGAGGACATGGAAGTTGTTGAAACTCCAGAGACAGAAGGGCTTGATAAAATGATGCTGGACATCTTGATCTTGTACCTGAGCCCAGCACTTTGGATTCAGCAAGTGGATGGTGCCTGTTCTCTGCCTCAGCACCTTGCAACCCCCCGAATCCCAACAGCCTTAAAAAGCACCATTCACCTCCCTCATCCTCCTGGTCTGTGCTAGCAGCTCTTAGTGGTCACTTGAGGCACAAGTGATTCTCCTCAACCTTCTTCTGGGCTCCTGCTTCCATTCTTATTCTACAGAGTCTCTGGATCCCACTGAGCTCAAGTTATACACAACTGTTAATAACCCACTTCCTCCCTAAACTGCTGGGAAGAAAACATTCACATAATAAAAGCAGCCATCTGAAATTGTCCAATAG